GGCGGGGAGGAGCCCCGGCACTCCGAGCGCGCTCCTGCCTGCTCCGTAGGTAGATGCCTGCGCCCGCCGCCCACTCACGCCCGTGACTGCAGCAGCCGCGCGCTCGCCCGTCATCCCATCCTCGCTCCGGCGCTCAGCAGGCGGCCCGGCTTCAAGCCCGCGGGCACGGGCAAGCAGGCACACGGCTGCCAGATACTGGCACCTGCCAAGGGCAGAGATGCGTGAACAGGGAGCGAGCTGGCCACCGGGCTGTGGCGATGCCCTTTCCTAAGATGTCTGCACACGCCTGCGCCTGCCTCCCGTCTGCCGGCTCATGTTAGGGATCAAAACCCGGAGCCCACGGAAGCAGAGCCACGGCAGTGCCACGGGAATTGTCACCCTGGCCGTGGTTCTCAACCTCGTTTTTGTGCCGGGACCCATTTGCAAACACCCATGACCAGTCCCGACCCAGGAAATAGTTTAAATAGAAAACAGCCCCCCCCAGCCCTCACTCCCGACCCACTGCCCCCAGGCCTCAGCCCCTCAGCGTGTGGGGCAGGGGTAGGCAACGCCACGCAGACTGGTCCTGTGCCAGCCTGCAAGGGAAAACCCACGGCTTCCCACTTTTTTTTCTCTTTAAAGGAAAATCCGTTTTTAAAGTTCGTTGACCCATTTGTAAAGCTTGTTTTCGACCCTTTCATATTCTTGCAACCCACGGGTTGAGAAACATTGTTACAAAGAAAGCCAAAGCGCCCGTGAATTAGCTTTTGGTCGTGGGGCAGAGCAGTCGGTGTGGTGAGGATGTTGGTGTGGCTTGGCCGCGCCATGAGAGCTGGGCACTGGTGTATCTGGACAATGCGGGAAACCCCTAAGGTGCATTTCTACCCGGCTTTCCCTGGTAGCCTTAATTGTGCGTGTATCTTGCACCCGTGGTGGGATCCCTTTTTTTCCACCCTCCTGCTGGGAAAGTTTCTTCCTTTTTCAGCGTCTTTCACCCGTAGCATCATTTTGGCACGAAACAAATTTCCAGTCCGAAATATTCTCATCTTCCACTCCGAGCTTCCCGCCCCTGCTTCTCTAAGCTGAGGTCAGTTTTCTTTCGGGTACTTTGGTGCTCAAACAGAAGAGGATGGGTCTTCAATAGGAGTTCAGTGATGAATTCTAGCCCCTGGGGGGAAAAAAAAACCCCGAATCTACCTGGGAAGCTGTCGAAAAAGACCCTCTCTAACCAAAGTACTCCTTGGCTTGATGGCTGTTAATATGGACCTTGTTTTTAAAGGTATTACTATAATCTTAGGGGAAATGTAAGTGAACTAAGAACCATCCTCGGCTCCCTGCCTCTGAACGGACTATTTTACGCTGAAAATATGTTAAAAAAAACCTGGGAAAAAAATCCCACAGCGAAGTGGATCTCTTTTTAAATAAAATCGGAGCAGCTTCCCAATAGTTCTGCTTTCTCTAATTAGGGGGAAAATCAAAACAAAACAAAACAAAACAAAACATGGCATTTAAATAAATAACCAGTGCATCTACAAGTGTGCACATGCGGATAATAAATGTGTGCGTGTGGCTATGTTACGTGTGTGTCTATGATATCAGTTTTCATGGGGTTTTTTTTTAGGTAATAGCACCTAAACAAAAAACCAAACAAAAAAAATACAAAAAAAAAAAAAAGCAAGCAAGAGCTTTGGGGGATCTTTTCTTTTCTGTTTAAATTCTTTGAGACTCTGCTGCAAGGCAGCTACGTTTTTCAGTGTCTGGACGCAATAACATTTTCCACGGGGGGAGAAAAACAAGACGATCTGTTCTTTCTTTTCCGCTGGCCCCACGCTCCTTTTGCTTTGAACGGATGAATCCTGAAGATGAACTTCTGCGTCCAGCAGCAGTGACAAGGGCTAATTCACGGACCCGAGTTGAGTTATAACTGTAGTGGGCAGTCCCTGCAGCCACACGGAAAAGCCTTGGGTTGCTGCCTGGAGCTCTTGGGCAGAGCAGATGAGCTCTTAAATCACCTGGCTGGGGTGTTTATGGCTCAAGGTAACTCTTCAACCTCATGCAGGCTAATGAACATGGTCAAATTAGCCTCTTCATTGAAATCCGCACTAGTACCCTGTAAAAGAAAGGACACGCTAGGTGGGTCTTTGTCCCAGGATATACTAACAGGCATATACCGTAGTAGACTGATGTGACACTGAAATCTAAAATAACATCTGGAGGAGTGAGAGAGAAATATGCAGCTTTAAAGCGAAGGTATTATCAAGGGCCATGATGGAAAGCAGCTCCACCTTTTATTCCTAAAGTTCCCAACCATATTATTTGGTGCTCAATACATGTATGAAACTCCCTCCTAGCAACGAACTGATCACGCAGTGCCTTGGCGGATTGCTTCGTTGCAAAATCAATCCAGTCACCAGCGTGATCCCCTGGTTTGGAAAGAGTTTTCTTCTGGTTTTAGAAAGGAACATCTAACACTGTACTGGAAACTGCTTGCCCCCCCTCCGCCCCTTCCCAATTGCACGGCATCTGGATTTGATTGAAAGGAATATTTCTTACTGAGAGGATTCGCTTTGTGTTATCTGTCGCTTTGATTAGCTTATTTAGCGCCCCCCACCACCACCCCCGAGGCTTAATCCTAATAACCAAGTGAAAATGTTGCCTTGTGGCTGAAATGGAGGTGGAAGAGAAACCACCAACATTCCTGTATATATATGGCTTAGTCCTTGAATAAGCATCCTGGTGTGTATAAATACACGCACACAACGTGCTAACATACCGGTGCATTGTGTATATGAAATGATGGGGTTTTATCATTGGGATCGTAGCCAGTTGCAGAGGTCCAGGCATCAGGAAATACCGCCTGCTGGATCAAACCCAGTCATCGTAACTGAGAGCGGGAGATGAAAGCCTTCTCGTCCTGGCTCCTGGGCTGTGGGTGCAGTAGGACGTGTTTCTCACATGTTCCTCCTAATTACCAGCAAGAAAGTTGTGCTCCGCTCTTGCTGGGTTTGGTTTAGTAATCAGCCCCATATGAGTCACACGGAACACGCAAGCCCACTCCCGCCTGAGTGACAGCTAGCCGGCGCTCTGGCTTCTTGTTGTCCCTTTAAAATCGGAATCCAAGGGTAATGATTTATCAAACTCTTATTATCAAGAAAATGTCAAAGGAAGGGCACCTTGCTATGCACTGACGCAAACCCAGTCTTTCCCAAGGAGGTATAGAAAGCTTTGCTCTTGGCTGAGCAAAATCCAGTCTATCCATTGCTTCTCCGGCTGGTTTTTTGTTTTTGTTTTTACCTCTAACCGCTTCAATCTGTTGCTGTTTCAGGCATGGTAAGTGTTTGCTTTTCGGTCTTTGGGAGGTGGAGGTATTAGGGAAGTGGAAAGTTTATCTTTAGACCGGACTTTGCGCTCTGCTCGTGTGGCTTGTGGTGTTAGGTTTACACAGGACTTCAGGTCCTTTGGATCCGGGTTGGGGGGGATCTGGTTTCAGGTGGGAGCTGCTGTCCAGGGTGCTGAAAAGACGCTCTAGTCGCCTGTGCACGAAAGCTCTCTCCAGTAAGATCTAGCTTCCTTGAGGCAGGAAGAGAAGGCACTGGGGCAAGTATTGTGCTTCAGGGGTGGAGTAAAATCGCTATCGAGTCCTGTGCAGATATGCATTTGCCGATACTGTGGGCTGGTAAAGATAAGAGGGAAGCATACATGGGAAACCGCATAGAGTAGTTTTCTCCCTTTGAAATGACACTGGGTCAGAAAGGCTTTCGCCTTTTCCCCAGGACTGTTTAAATGTGTGAGCTTGCATTTTCGGAACCAGGCATATTTAACGCAGCAGCCTGTTGGCTACTTTTTTTTTTTAAGGAAGAAATTTAGGTCTTTTAGAAGGGCAGAAACCGAGAAACTCAGACTATTTTTAGCATAATGCTACACTGCAGCCTGTGCCGTGCGGTCCTGGAGAAGGTTGCCGTGTCCCACTGTGGGTTGTTTGGTCCCATTGCTGTCAGTGTTTGGATCGCTCCTTGTAACTTTACTGGGGACACCGGCAATGCTAACCCATGCTATTCGCTTTGGTGCTAGCTTCTCCGGCTGCCTACAGGGCAGCTTGTCTATTGCCTATGGAAAAAAAAAAAAGAAGCCAATGTGCATTGTTGAATGACAGAAAGGAAATGGGGCGTAAAATTAAAGAATCTTTCTACAATAGGGCTAGGGGAAGGGAGCATCCGGGAGCCGTGATGTGAAATCTAACAAGGGCTGGAGGCGCAGGGCTGCAGGAACATTTATCTAAAACTCCCTTTCCAGGTTTGCAGTCTCGGCTATTTTTTAATACATGGCTTTGGGGCCTTCTCTATGATCTTTCCCGAGCCGTAGCGTTTTGAATAAGGACTGAAGAGGGCCAGGCACATGGCAGACCCCGCGAAGCCTTCAGACCCAGCAAAATTGTCTCCCGTGCCCCTGTCCGCAAAGTGTTTTTTGTGAAATATTGAAGGTTTGGGGGTCTTTTTTGGTAAAGTATGTGACGTTGTCCTTGTAGGATTACGCCTGTCAAAAGGATATGAACAAGCTGACTGCGGACGGCTCCGAAACAGTTGTTCCTGGACAGATTGAAGGCGCAGGAATTACAAGCCTCAGCCCTGAAAATGAGCAGCAGAGTCTCCCTCCGCAGGCCCCGTGCCCCTTGGCGAAGGCCTCCACTGGCAGCAGACCTGTTTCGCCTGAAGAAGCCAAGGCAAACGATTTGGAGAGGACCAAAGTTGGGATCTGCAAGCTCAGCAGCAGCAGCTCTGGGCAAGCCAACGCCACCCTCCGCAAGGATCCTATCGAGACCTGTCCGCTCAAGAGCATCCTCACTGCGGGGCCCACGGCCTCGGCCCCGATCCCGCACTGCAAAATCCCCACTTTGCAAAGCCTAGATGGGGAAGCTAATCAGAGCCTTGGGAAGAGCACGCTGGAGCAAAACAATGCCAAAGGCGGCTGGGTGCCCATGAGCCAGAGCACCGTGGTACTGGGCACAGATGGGAACACTTCTGTTCTTCCTGGCAGCGTCAATGGGGTGAGTGGCTCCCCCGTAGTTCCTCCCCCCAGCCCCGCTCGGGTGGATCAAGCACTGCGGGGCTCGGCAGGACGTGCCACGGGCCCCAGCTCGCTTTTCCTGCCGCTGCTTATTTATTAGCCAGGAGAAAATGGGGGATCGATAGTGCCAAGCTAATTCAGGCGCTCGCTGAGCCGTGGCTGTCCCTATCACACAGGAGCGTGCGGGGGGGGGGCTAAATTGGGGACGCATAAAACTGATGCGAATTTACACCAAGTGTCTGGCGGGAATCCGGTCCCTCTAGAGACCTGGGATCAAACGGACACACGGAGGATCCGGGAGCTCTGGGGCGATCTCTCCCCCCCACCCCTGTTCTGGTATCAGTGCCCCCGGCCCTGGGGGTGTTGCTTCCTGCAACCAAGCCATCGACCCACCAAAGCAACCCCCGGCCCCGCGACCCCCAAGGGCTTCCAAAGCAATCGCTGCCTGGTGGGCAGATCAAGCCTTATTTAGGATCGCTGGGCAGGCACCTGATCCCCTGCCCTGGCTCCCCCCGCCCGGAGCTGGACCTCTTCTCCAGCCGGTGCCAGCCTTCCCCTGGCCGCGGGTTCGGGGCTCACCCCTGCCCATATGCATGAGTGGCCATGGGTGGGCACTGGGGAGCTAGGAGGCAAAGCAGGCCCCTGGGACCTCCTGCTGGGCCTGGAGCTGGGGAAGCCACTTGGTGCTTCACTCCCAGGCTCCGGGGCTAGAAGGGACATGGGATTGGGCTCCCAAGATCTTTGGCAGTCACTAAAGCTCAGTGATCCTTCCCCTGTCCCAGGGGCCAATGGTCTCCCTCTCAGGGGCCAGTGGTCCCTCTCCTGGCTCAGGGGTCAGCCAGGCGTGTGTGGTACTCCCCCCCACCAGTAAAAACAGAGCACAGTT